AACATCTTTTAAACAAAATGAATTGTAACGAACTTTCCAGCACAGAAAGAGCAAACATTTCAAAACAAACTGCTGTCAAAAGGTTCCAGATTCGACCGCTAGGAGCACTGCAGTAAAATAGACAGTGCGTCCAGATATTAAATGACTCAAGATTTTTTCAAAAAAGATTCATTTATCCATGACATGCACTTTAACGAGAATTTAATAAAACGTGATGCAGATCATTTGAGATCCTTAGATGATGGAATTAGACATAAGTAAATTTAATCAAAAGGGTAGATAATTACTTCGGCATAAGTGCCGATTTCATATCGACCAGAAACACCAAATATTTCGACGTGATCGAATCAATCATACATTTGGTACGATAGTTTAGTTCAAAAGCTACAAATCAAAGTCTTAAAGAACGCATAATATGAATTTTAAAATCCATTATTCACAAAAAAACAAAAGAAGCGCTCCTAGAGAATCTTTTTTGTTGTGCCTTCATCCGTATGTTGAAGTTAATCCCATTACCTGTTTGTTTGGACGGAATTGGAATCAAGAAGCATTGTTAGATTTTTAATAATATCTCAAGTGACTCTTTATCAGATCCAACGGTAAATAAAGTAAGAATTCATAGTTGTGTAGCTATCAAACTTTTTAATCAAACCCATTCGAATATGAGAGGTTAAGTACGGGTTGACAGAAATTATATCTTAACCCTATAAAGTGTAAAACAGCGAAAAATGTTATCTCCCATTTAATTCCACTTAATTAATTTTGGTATCTATGACAGATACGTATTTCGTCTACAATGTGCAGTCTTCATCAATGTCATTCCCACTAAAGACTTTTAAAAAACCTAATCTTCTTAAGTAAAGGAGAAAAATCTAGTCAAATCTCTAATAAATAGAAAATCCCAAAGGCTGTTAGCCATCATAATGAAGTAATAAAATTTGGTTGTTAGCGGAATGCTTAAATAAAACAGCGAAAAAGGATATCTTCCATTTAATTCCACTTAAATAATTTTGGGATCCATGACAGATAAATAGATAAGATTAGTTAGGTAGGTTCCGATTCTACACATTGTAGTTTCATTTTTATACCTGTGATCTTGACATTTTTACCTAGGGGATGAGTAAGGGGTTAGGTTTTTGATAAGTCTTTAGTGGGAATGACACTGATGAAGACTGCACATTGTAGTCGAAATACGTAGTTCATACCTTCCCTATAAAGAGAATTTTGTAAGTTATTTAAAGTACATAAGATTTATAGATCTTCAAAGTTTTACCAAGTTGATGTTTTTGAACTTTATAGCCCAAGTAGCATCAGAAACATAATTTAAAAAGATATATTTTTTATTGGTCATTCAGAAGACCTTAATCAGTTCTAGCATTAAAAATCATAAGGGCCTAACTGAGATGAACGATTTTCTTCACAGATTTTCTCCGTTGTTAATAACTTGGATTTTGCTAGCTAAAACAATTTTTCACTACACTGTTATGTGATAATTTACGAAAATTTGTTTACTGAACTGTGGTAATGTTAAGAGAAAACCAATGAAGAGAATCGATCATTTTAGTAAGGCCCTTATAATTCTGAAAGCTAGAAGTATTATTTACTAGTCACAGACAGATGGATAATGATTGCAGTACAAAGCTTGGTTCATAAGACTATCTGGCGTTATAAATCACTATATTTTATATTGCTTTCATCTATGCATTCTATCACAGGAAGCCAGATTCATTTAATAAATATCTCAGGAGATGTCTTAAATGTTTCAATGCACACACGTGTGAAAAATATAGTCATATATGTTTTCCCTTTAATCATAATCAAGGTAAGTTTGTCTTGTCCGTGTTGTATTTCAGCTCATATGCCCTAGTAGCACACTTCTCAAGCTACCTTGCAAGCTTTACAGAAGTTTCATTGCATTCTACAAATCTAAACCAGGGTTTACAGAACCCTCATAAAACCAAAATTGTAACTTGGGCAGTCACAAACTGAAAAAAACTTTCTGACAGATGTGTGCTTATTGAGTGAAGATGTTAGTACTAAACTAGTAGACTGAATAACCCAAGTTTAAATGTTCTAAAGTAATACTTATGCCATATTTACGTTTGTTGTTGAACATTTATAAAACAAATCCCAATTGGATTTAATCATTCAGTTGAAATGAAACTTCAAAGATGTTGTACATGCATACAGCACAGTGCCGGTGGTGTAGTGGTAAGCGTGATTACCTCTCACCCCAGCAGGCCTGGGTTCAATCCCAGTCGGCACCGCCGGGATGTTCTGAGGCATAACATCTCTGATCACGCCTTCCTTCGGAAGGGAAGTAAAGCCGTTGGTCCCCGGTTCATGAGGTGATACGTCGATAGGTAAGGTCCAGGTGTGGGAGCTGCCCCCCTGGCGTCGGTAGCATTGGTGCTCATCACGGAAAACAAGATCGACGGAAAACAAATCAAGGAAAAAAAAGGACTATACATGTTACAAGGCATCACAGTTGTCATGATGCCTTGTGAGGTTAAAATTTCTCTTACTTGATGCTTTTCGTTTAAATTTGTCGAACCTCTTAACGGAATCCCTATATGAAGAGCTTTGAGTGGGTTGGTTTATTTCCTTTAAATTCCGTTATAATTGCATATCTTTTGAAAGATACGCGTATTTCGTCTAGTACTTGCAGACTTCATCAGTGCCAAGTGGTGTTTGCAAGTAGTGGACGAAATACGCGTATCTGTCAAAAAATAAGCAATTATAACGGAATTTAAAGGAAATAAACCAACCCACTCAAAACTCTTCATTGATGCTTTTATTGCTACATCAGTGCACCTATATTACATACTAAATTGCTGATATTGGTGAGGACTAAAAGGGCTAATAAAAAGTGTATTCTTACAATTGAAGTGGTCAAGCGGTTAGAAGACCGATGTATCTTTTCAGGAGCCGATCTACAAATCTACACATTTTATAACGAAATTTTGCTATTAGTTTTAGTAGAATCACAAAGAATATATTGATAAAAATGAAATATGTTTCATAGGCTGCATATCTGCACCATTTTGCCGATTTTATAGTACACTAAATAAGGTTTTCCAATGTTGAATCTAAAACACGATTATCTGTCCCGTATAAGCAATAATTAATTACATCAAAAATTTTGTGTTACTTGAGATGAGTTTAAATTCCATTTTTTTTTTAAATGTATACGAATAACGGGAAAACATACAATCTAGATTTTTGTTTTACTCAAGATACAATCGAAAAAAAAATGCTATGAGTGCTGAAACATGCGATTCAATCGCGATTTATAAGTCGAATTCCCAAGATATCAATTAAATTTCAGAGCTTTCCCTCTGAAATATTTTAAATATTTTTTTAGGGCTTCATAATTTCTGAATTTGAAACATTGTCCAAGTCTGAGATCTAAAAAACTGTCCCAGTCCTGCAAACGCAAGTATCAGTTTTGGACTTATCACTGTCTTGTGGAGTATGTTGTAATCTTTAAGAATGGTTAAAAACCTCGATAAAACTTGCTTAGCAATTCTCTTGCTCTTCCAGCGATCATGAGAGTTGGGGATTTTTGTTGTTGTTGGACTATGGCCGAAACAAGAAAATAATAATCTTTTCAATTGTCATTGAACGGATTAAGAATGTATCTGCAGCAGTTTTGCTTATTCGCATGAGGATTATCATGGTGGTTGGTTAAATCGGAAAGCTTTTAGATTTTTACACAATCGGAAGTGTTATCATTATTCCACGCGGACAGTTTTTAAGAGATTTTGAAACAGAATGAATTTGAAAGGAAGTTTAAAATTGATGCATAAAATATTCGTTAACCTTAATTGAGCAAAAATTAATATCCAAAATATCTGAAGTTTTACACTGTGTTCAGAAAAACTGTGTTGTGTATTCAATAATATATGTTCCCAAGAAGTAAGATACTGGCTTTTCAGTTTTTGAGATGGATGTTGATCAAAATCTTCTTATTTTATATTTGTCCTACGTTCCTATCGTCAGTCTGATCGTCAGTCTAAGATGAAAAATATGTTTTTGATCCATCCCAAAACTGAAGAGCCAGTCTCTTACTTAGATATAAAAAACATTTGAAAATAAGATTTTTTTCGGTTAGGAATAAATTTTTTTTAAGAATATCACATTTGAAATTCGATATCCTTCATTCACTACTTTATAAAACAAAAAAAATAATGTTGGAACGGATTGAAATGCTCAATCATAAAACGTTCTGATACAGCTTTTTGGTTTGAAATTTGGAATTGACATATCAACCTATACAGGAAAAAACTTTACAACTGTTCACGTTCAATTACGATTTGCATGGCTTTTGGGCAGCCTTCCTAGTTCAGGAGCTGAATAGTTTCCTGCATGATAAAACCGCCTAGAAAAATTGAACACAAACGAAACAGTACATTCTGTACCGTTCTCCCCTACAGCACAATAATGCTTTATTTTTTACAATAAAACATCTCAAATACAAAGCACCGTCAGCCCTTTCGAGCATTGCATTGTGATAATTTCTCTTTCGAATTTTCCCAAACAAACTGGGCCACTGATATCCGCACTGAAACACCCAACCACCGACATCGCTGTCGTCGTCGTCGTCGTCGTCTGCGGTTGGCTGTTGGTTGGCAGTGCGAGATAAATATTTATAAATCGGTAGCAGCACCCGGCCAACCCGGTAGCAGTGCAATGACCAAATGTTGGCGAGCTTTCGGTTGGGCGTGAAAGTTTTCATTATGGGTCCGTTTCATAAACAAAAAATTAATCGCCTAATGATCGAACAGCGCAGTGACCATCGACGACGAGCTGGTTGGCGTAAGCAAATCACGATAGCGTTGCACAATCGTGATCGAATTAGATGCAGCGTTTTATAAATGTTCGGTAGCAACAGCTCGTTACGCCATGTCATGTAACCGAAGTTATTTCGGATGTTTGAATTTCCCAATGCATTGTATGAATATTCAACTACAGCTATTCCCTTTCTTCTCTTTCCGCAGGTTCACCGTGGAATATCAACATAATGTCCTCACCGGGGCTGACGGCTCTCGGTGAATCCACCCGACTGGTGCCGGCCAATGTGCCGGCGGTTTTTGAGGTTCTGCCGCCTCCTGGAGCTTCAATCCGGGGCAGTGACTGCGTGGCGACTGTGCTCTCGCCCAGCAAGAGCAAAGTTAACGCGCGAGTCACCCACGAGGCGGCCAACGGTGCAGTGAGGATCGAGTTCGTCCCGAACGAAGTCGGAACGCACATCATCGAAGCCTCAATTGGTGGAACCACACTGGTCGGGGGACCGTTAATTGCCAAGGTCTACGACTCGAGCTTGATTCAGGTCACGGATGTTAATGGAGGAGTGGTGGGACAACCGTGCCAATTCCGGGTGGATGCCAGTGCGGCCGGAGAAGGACAACTGGAAATTTCAATCAATGAAGGAGAAGTTCCAAATCACGTACAGGTGGTCGGAGGTGGTAGATGCCTGGTATCGTTCACCCCGGAGCAAGCGAAACCTCACTTGATCGATATCAAATTCAACGGAGAAACCGTGATCGGTTGTCCGTTTGTGTGCTCGGTTGCCGATACCAGTCGAGTCTTGCTCAATCTGTCCAACCTGGAACTGATTCCGGTGAACAGACCAGCTTCGTTCCACATCACCGTCAGTGGTGGAGGAGCCGCAGAACTGGCTGTAAGTGTACGAGGTCCACAGGGAGAGCTACCCGTTAGAGTGACCGGTGACATTCATGCAGGATTCACCGCAGAGTTCACACCGAACCACGTGGGAGCTCATACGATCAATGTAGAATACAACGGTTACCCGGTGCAGGGAACTCCTTTCGTTGCCAAGTCTTACGATGCGACAAAAGTCGGAGTGGGCTCTGTTTCCAAGGGCACCGTTGGAAGACCCGTACAATTCACCGTAGATGCCGGCGATGCCGGTGAAGGAAATCTGGAGATCACCATCTCCGCCAAAGGCCATAACATTCCCACCCAGGTGCACCCGCAGGGAAATGCCAAGTACGTATATCAATAAGCTGCTAGTCCCTCGCCAATTTACTGATGAAAATTATCTCATTTTAGATTCGCCGTATCGTTTGTCCCCGCCGAGCCATGTGAACACATTATCAATGTTTCGTTCAACAAAATGCTCGTACCCGGTTGTCCCATAACGGTGATCATCAACGGGGGAACCACTGGACCACAAGTGTCCCTCGGTGGACCAGGTCCGCTACATTTGCCGAATTCGCTAATCATCAATCACGCCGGAGGCCGACTGGAGGACATCGAAGTCAATGTCGAAGGTAAGACCGGAATTTCCTTTTTTTGTAATATTCAATTTGATATCGTATGTCTTTACCCAACCTTATAATCTGTTAGATATCTTCTGAACACTATTTGGCATACACTGTCCCCTATTACTATTCTTTCGGCTATATCCTTGCTGTTACTCTGTCTCATTTAATTAATAAAAAAAAAAAACAATTGCAATCTTTGTATAGTACAGCTTTCAAAATTTGTTAGGTTGCGAAGTAAAAACCTCGAGCACAAACTAGAAATGAGCAAAGCATTAACTGTCACCAAGCACCTTCTGCAAGGCAATACACCAAGGTACATGGTGGCACTCATTTGCTGCTTACACCCAGTTGGTCGAAAACAATAGATAAATCTTGATTTGAACTTAGATAAATAATAATACTTTCAAGTACGCGAATGTCAGTCAGTGAAATTATTGCTCAAGTCAGCGGGGAGACCAATTTGGGATTCTGTGATAAAGGTGGGTTATTTCTATAAAATATTTCCATTTTCAATCAGTCAAAAAAGAAAACCTAATAAATATTTTCAGTCATTGGTTTTTTAAATAAAAAAATACCTAGCTCAACAACAGAAAACAATAGTGGCTCTCAAACTTTCGTTGATTGCGACTCACTTTGAGAAATATCATAATCTCGTGACCCACAGTTATTGTTAGCGAAATATTGCATACAAATTTCCGCGAACGTGGCTTATTCAACGCAGTTTGTGATTCCACTAACACAAACAATTAGATATTGTTCATGCAACGATGTTAAAACAAACGTGAAAATACGTATTATTACGTTCTCTTATGAACAGTGTATCTTTAAATTGATCATACAGCAGTACTTAAATTTTAGAAAAAAAATGCTCTTAAAGCACAAGTTAAAAGATAAGTATCTGAATCTTTTTGCAGCTGACTCAGCATACATTTATCACTAATTGGCTCAGTATTGGGCATATTTGGTTGAGTTTACAAAAAGTTGGAGCAACTTAAGAGAATGCATTTTTCTTGAAAAAAACTTATTTCTTGAAATAAATTGAGCATAACTTCTTGAAATTTTACTCATTTTAATCGTAATAAAGATCATTAATATGCCACTAATTTGACTACAATTCGTCCACGAGGCAATAAGTTGAAAATCGAGCGTTTTACTAAAGTAAATCTAGCTTCATACAGGCTCCTCCAATAAATACCAAAATTATAGCAATACATCAATAAACGTCTGTTCAGTCACCAGCCACGATTTTAAAAAATACGCTATTCACCCTGTTTGAAAAAAAAATCTCTTAGGGTGTACGATCAATTTTGAGATTGACACTGCATGTTCTGTGCAACTGTGAAAAACTTACAGCTTTTTGTGGTTTATAAAAGAAATAACAAAAATAAATTTAACGAAAAGGTTCTCAGCACGTTATTTCAAAAGTAACTATTTGGTTCACCGTTTAACATTAATATTTTGAAGTGAAAAGGTGTTGAACTTGTAAATAAAAATTATTTGAAATGAATGAATGAAATAAATTGCGATTGCCATTTGCGTATGAAATAAAAAATAAATAAATCCAAAATCATGGTTTGACTGCAGAAATAGTTATGCGCTCAAAAAAAGAGCAGGAGACATGTTGGTTTTCATATTTCCGATCATAGCAAAAAAACTATAAATCCATTGAATAGTAAAACGATATACTGGTTCTCAGAATTTCGTAAAACATTGCAGTTTTATTCCTTATCGCAAAATGTTAGACCCGTATTTTTTTTTTTTTAATTTGTCATAAGGGTGATGACTTTTTTTTTAATTTTTCGAAGCTCGAAACATCAAATCAACATTAATTATAATTTTTTTTTTTATGTTTTTCATAGATTGTAGACAGATTACGCAATATGTTTTTATATTTTTCCTTGAAAATTTAGGCCTTCAAAACCAAAAAATCAGCATTGTTTTCTTTTTCGTTTTTGAGTTATATTTTTTTGAAGTTATCAAGTTTTGGGTTAAATAAGCCTAACAGCTTCTGCAGAAAATAGGTATAGATTATGTGTCTATGTTCATTATGTATCAATGGAGACGCATGGTAGTCTAGTCGTATAGGAGTATTGAGCGAAAACCCAAAACTTGATAACTTAAAAAATATTACTCAAAAACTTAACAAAATACGTCGTCGATTTTTTTTAATGTTGTACAAAAAAGCCTAAATTTTCAAGGAATTGAAAACCATAACAAAGAACACATAAAATCAATGTTTTTTAATATTATTTGATTTTTTCGTATTATTTTTTTAAATTCTTTTATTTTATACATTGATCTTAGAAATCGGTCAAGTGGTTCAAATGTTATGAATTTTTCATAAAGTCATTAAGAAAAAAGTCATTTTTGAAAAAAAAACCGATTTTTTGCACCACTTACATGGAAATGGCTACCCGAATCACAAATTAAACAATACGGGTCTTATATTTTGCAGTTAGGAACAAAACTAAAAAATAATACGAAAATCTTAGAAACACTATATGTTTCGCTATGGAATGGCTGTATATCCGTATAGAATTTGATGCACTACCCCGCTGAAAGCTTCATAGATGCTCTGGAAAAAGCAAGGAAATATTGATTACTAAGTTCAATACAAAATGCAGCAAATCTAAAAAAAATACATGCAAAGGGCTGGTAGCGATTAACTTTTTAGTTAGTTGAAGATGCTAATTTCAAATAACAGACTAAAGTGGTAATTTTAAAACGGTCAACGATAGTCAACGATTAGTAGAAGATGCTTATTTCAAAAAACAGACTAAATAACAGACAGGGAGCACATACCGTGGTAGGGGTAACAATAGCTGCAATTTCCAAACCTACGACTGTATGCCTTCCTTCAAATAACAACTGAAGTGCGGTAAAAATCGGTAGAACTGTTTCAAACGCATCGTTGGTACTTGAGCGGTTGGCGTTCATCTCTTTTTGCCAGTGGTGGCGGGGGAATACACCCATCACCATCCCTCTTCAAAGGGGGAGTTTGGTAAAGAGAGATTAAAAAAACAATTTATACTTAAAAGTTGTCCTAGCTCGCTATCTACTATCTACATGCCATTTTCACACTGCCGTACTCTAACGGAACTATCAACTCTATACTTTCATCTCCTCCATCTATCGTATAAATATTACCACTTTAGTCTGTTAATTGAAGTTAGCATCTTCAACTATGTAAATCGTTGTCTTCACGCAGAAGTAATACTAAACATATAGTCAAAGAACTTTTTAGTGACTTGGTAACTTTAACTGTAATCAGTCACTATTTTCAACTTTTTTAGCGTTAATTTATTTCAAGATTGATCGTGCACTGCATTGTTTAGGATCTGATAGTCCAATCGATTTGTTCTAATTATCGAACAATTCGAAGAACCTTCAATCGTCTTTCTCTATCTAAAGGGTGTTTACTCATTCTTTTTAAATAAAATTACCTGATTTTTCCAGGTTTTTCCAGAGCTTTAACGGATAACTTCCAGCCTTATAATAAGAAAGCTATTTTTAAATGCGTTAAAAATATGCTTTTTTTTTTGAAGATTAAGAGCAGTTCTCGTAACTTTAGTCCAGACTTTTGGAGCAGTTTAAATATCTATAATCGTAAATTTTGAAAAATTCAGGATAGTTCTATGATGTGCTGAAAACAAAATCGAGAACCCTTAAGAGGTTCCGAAAATTTCAGGGAAGTACAGAGAATTTATGAAAATTTCAGAAATATTTCAGGATCTTCTCAGAGGTCCTGAGAATTTCAGGGAGATTTTAAGGTCTTAACGGGGATTCCATTTATATCCGAGTAGAACCGATCTTGATAGGATTGAAAGGCTCAGGGAAGCTTTGAGAACATCAAAACAGATAAAAAAAAAAACAAAAGGCAGTTCAAAAAATTTCAAGGAAATTGTAGAAACCTTAATTAAGATCAGAGAACATCAACAAAGTTCCATTAATTTAAAAGCATGCGAGAACTTTTAGCAAGCAGTCATACCACATACAAACAGACGTAACTCTTCATTGTATATCTTCGTTCACGGATTTAACGGTTGATTTGAATGTTATCAGTTCCGCGAACTACTCGCCGCAGCGCTGGCATCGGATCACTTTGACGTTTCTATTCATTCTATAGAACTTTTATGTAATATTGTTTGCGAGTTAGCGAGCAAGCTTGTTTTCCGCGAAAAGCCCGAAAGATGTCGTTACTGAGGTCATATGTTTTGAAATACTATGTTTCCAAGAAAAACTTTTTCAAAGAGTTACGTCTGTTTGTCTGTGGTGATACCTTCAAAAAATCCAGAGAACTTCTACTAAATTTAGATATCTAAAAGGGTAGTGTCGTGATATTCAACAAAGTTCCGAACACTTTGACGACGATCAGATGACTTCAGAATACTTCCATTCACTGAAGGGGGTAGTCCACTATGGCGGCATGAAAAATAGGTCATTTTCATGAATTTTTTTCGAGGGTAAATAACGATCAATTAAAAAAAAAGAATGCATGGTTTTGTCAATTGAAATGTCTTCTTTAATTGAGATTTTCTTTTGGCGCGATTGGACGTCTCCTGTAGCCGCTGCACCAGGTTCCCCAGGAGACGTTGCGGGGCGGGACGTCTGGCGGTCACACCACTGGCGCTGGAACAACGAATTTTTTTGTGGTTATTCTCTGATAGATGACCCAGTCTTGTACGTAGCCGTTTTTGATTTGGTTGAAAAATAAAAAATTGGTGGCGTTTTGAAAAAAAAAACTGCCTGTTTTTGTACCCTAAAATTTGAGATAAAAGCTTGCACCAAAAATCCATTTTTGATTCTTTTGAAAATCGGCTACGTACAAGACTAGAAAAAAGGTACTTAACTCGAAAATTGAATCGCCGTTTAAATCGAATGAGCCGTTTCTAAAATACAGCGCCCGCCAATTTTGAAAACATCGATTAGAGATAATCGCGGCAGCAGTTGGAACTTGGAACTACTAAGACACGCCGTTTCGCCGGTAACGGGCGGGTACTCCGACCGCTCACCTGAGCGCGCTTGGAGCGTCTGGACACGAGTCAACTAATCGGCCTATAACTTTGGAACGATGTCACTTGCGGACTTGCGGTCAAGTCTATGTCAAAGTAGACATTCCAAAGTATTTTTAAGCCAAAAAAAAAAGAATTTTTGAAATTTCCAGAGTGGACTACACCCTTAAGCAAATTTGCAGCGACTTACAAGGAGTTCCGTGGAATTATGGGGTATTTCAAGATTTGTATGGTTGATCCAAAAACTTCAGGGAATTATGAATATATATCAGAAAATTTGCCGGATTCTTAAAAAATAATATAGAACTTCAGGTAAGCTTAGAAAAAATCAGGGAAAATAAGTGAGCCTTTATAATGGTTATCATAGTTAAGGAAAATTGTCGAAATTGAGGTCTATGCATAAGTTCAGAAGTTCACGGAAGCTTAAACATTTTTAGGACAGTTAAAGACAAGACACAACAACAAGCTTCATGAGAACTGCAAAAACTTTAGAGAAGTTTTAAGAATTTCAGAAATTAGCAGAGAACCTCAAAGCAGTTCCGTTAACATTAGAGATGTCACATAAATTTTAAAGAAGTTTCGAGAACTTCAGCAAATCGTTAAACCCGTTAAACCTGTAGAGAAGATCCATGATCATTAGAAAAAAGATGAGGAAATTTTAGGAATCCCTATAAAGTTCAGGGAAGTGTAAGAATTTGATGAGAAGTATTGTGAGTATCAGGCTAGTTTTCATACTACATAAGAACTTCAAGGCAGTTTAATTAAATTCGGAAAAAATTAGGCAACTTTCAAGTAGTTCAGAAGACCTCAGAATAGTCCATCCCATATTAAACGGAGATTCTCATTGAAATATTCCTCAAAGTTTCGATTTGAGTGTCTTCTGAATTCAAATTTAGTTTTTCTTGGAATTACCTTGAAGTTCTCCACAATAAGAAACCCTATGGAAAGATTCTCCGAATATTCAATGAATTCATTTCAGATTTATTTTTGAATCTCACTCCTTCCCTTGCAATTCTACTCACATTGAAATTTTCCATAGAATTCCTTGGCATGTTTACTCACAAATTTTTTATATTTCTACTTATAGTTTTTTTGTAAGCTCGCCTGAATTTATTTTCCGAATTGCTTTGAAGATGTCCTGGAGTTATTCAAATGTATTTTTAGTATTTAAAAAAAATCCAAGTACTTCTGCTTTGGATTAGTTTTCTCCCACAAACTTCAAGAAATAAACTACAGAATGCCCTTGAAATTTCCTCTGAAGTTCACAAGAGTTGTGCTTCTCATAAATTCCCAAAAAATTTCATTAAAATTTTCTTTTAATTCAATTCAGAGTTTCTTGAAATTCTACTCATTTCGTATTTTCCTGAAGATTTTTTTCCCGAAACTCCCTTGGAATAAGGTCCGTAGAAATTGTAATTAAATTCCACGAGCCTTTAAAACTGTGCATGGATTTTGACTCCAGAATCTTTTAAGTCCAGAAATAGTTCAAATTTACAATTTGTAGGAAATGTGCATGTTAAAAAAAAAACATATCAAGCCTCTGATTTTTTGTAATTTATTTGTTACTGAAGATTTATCCAGTGTCTATAAAGGTCAATGTGTGAATGAAAATATCGAGAAAAATTAAATACTTGTATTTTAAAAATCATGAATTAAAAATAAAATTGTTAAATTCTCTGAGACTTTCAGCTACTTTAAGGAAATAAAATTTCCTGAGGATTCCCGGTTTTTCAGGTTTTTGCAATTAGAGATGTTTCGGATCTTCCTGAGCACGCTCTCATGGCCATCCGGGTCCGTGTTTATGTCATCAACCCAAATTCTTCCGTATATCACAGTTCCTAATGTTTTCAAAAAAACCGTGGAGCTCTAGGATCAGTTTCGTGGATTGACCAATTTTACAGATGTTCCGAATCTTTCAGAGGACTGTTACGTTGTCTCCAGGATTCATATAGGAACAATGACTGTCTTTTGGCTAATTATGAACATTTGTACCCATTAATCTAATTTATGGATCTTAGGCCACTTGCAAAACCCATAAAAACTCCTTTGAAAAAAACGTGTAACGACTCTTTTTGCTTTTGAATAAAGTAGACGACCCTATTTTTAATCTTTTTGCAACCAAAATCATTTACAGACCCTAGAATTCTAGAAGTACCACAGTTTTGGAAATTCACCAAGAAATGGCTAAGTTGTGCCATTGCAAACTTGCCGTAACACGTTTTTCGGAGGCATCGTATTCGGAGTGTTAAAGCTCCCACAATTTTTCGAATGTGTATGGAACTTTTCCGAAACTCTCTGACCTTTTCTAAAGATCTTTGAAGTTAACTAAAGTTTGATGGAGTTTCGTGAAGTTCTTGTAAAGTACTTGAAGTTATTTTTGAAGTTAATGGACCTATCCTAAACTTTTCTGATCTTGATTTTGCTTCAAATTTTCGTAAAGCTCATGAAACTGCCCTGATGTAGTCAGAGCTTTCCCCTATTGTTCTGAACTTTTTTTTAGTTTACGGAGTTTGCCTGATGTTTTTGAAACTCCTCCGAATATTGCAGAGATTACCTTGAGTTCATGAAATATCTTCAAAGCTCTCGAAGCTTTCCTGTTGTTTTATAAATTGCTAGAAATAGCTCTGAACTTCAATAAAGTTCTTGCAAATTAATTGGGTCCAATGTACGTTCGTAATTCGGCAGATTTTTATTTCCTTGCTTAGACGCCATTTTTATAACTGAAGAGTAAATGTCAAAAACAAAAAGGCATCATTCTACAAGCACACATTTTCAAATTGAGGGGTGTTAAGGTTTTTTAAATGCTCGATTAAAAGACATGCGTCAAGTTTACGCCAACCTAATTTTGATCGTAACACCCTTCACTATATTGATGTTTCCACTAGTGCTTTTTGTTGCAATGGTCATAAACAAAAAATGCTACCTGTCCACAGGTTTAAAACCTCGATAAAACCTGCAATGTTGCTTGGGGTGTGCAATACTTCCAATAAGAAATCTGAATAAACGTCAAACGAAGGGAAGAGATAACAACGAATTAGATAGATACACACTTAAAAAAATTCATGTAAATTTAGGTGCTCTGAGACTGACATATACGAGCGTCATTTTTGACATAAAATTGAGTCGTAATAGACGCAAAACTCAGCTCAATCAAACGTACTTTTCGTCGAGTACCGAACTTTTCAGTCTCGGAGCACTTAATTTTACATGACATGTTTGTTTACGTCTCATCCTGTATGTCAAAGATGGATTCCGTCACGTGTAAAATTAGGTATTTCTAAGTGTGTATGTTCTATTTGTTCTTCACAGTTTACCATATTAAGATAGTTTATACAAGCAATAATTTCACCGACTGATTTCTCCGCTACGCTAAATAAACTTGAACAAAGCAATAAAACAAACCAACCATCATGTCTACCCCATTGGCCAACACCCCCTAATCCCACCGTGTATAGCTCTGAAACCAATTGAATTCTGATCAAACCTCTTCACCTTTTTTGTTTACATGTATATTTCAGGGCGACGTAGACTTTTGTACTAAGACCTAAGCTCGAACTAAGTTGTTGTTCACCCCCTCCCTCTATCTGCTAGGAAGAGATGAAAAATCGAAAGTTCAAGATCAATATTCTTTATGATATACATACATATTTCCGTTATTAATTTATCTTCTTACGTAGAAAACGCAAATGTTAATGGTTACCAACTTCACAGAAAACAGAAAATTAACCACTAACGATAGAAGTAGTTTGTTACATTCGCTCGATTAATAGTGAAACTACCCCGAGACTAAATCGCAAATTGCTTGCTACTTGCAATGGACAAAAGCAATTGCATAATCATTAAAAAAAAAAACAATCGGTTGAGGTATCTAACCAAATTGGGCCATCGCATGAAACATGCATAGACTAGCAATAAATGCCACAACAGATGCAATCTAACACAAACGCTTTGATTTGATCCTACGCTAACGAAATGCCCTTTCCCCCTTTCTCCTTTTTTCCCATCGCTTATTATTTGAAACGTTCCGCTATTATTCGGTAACACTGTTGTTTTTTTGTTCTTACCACTTATTTTTTTGGATTTATTTTGTACAATAAAAAACCATACGAATGAGATGAATAAAAAACACACACCATTAAACAAGACTACAAAACGCTTTCCTTTTCGACGACTGTTTTCCTCCCCCGCCTTCTCGCCTGTAAAATGGTTGAAAACGATTTCGATCAAAACTCTAAAATAATTACCCAGGACCATCCGGACATTCGGTGCCAGCTCAGGTTCTGCAAACGGCCGACGGTGTGTTCAAGGCCGAGTTTGTGCCGCGGGTCGTCGGCGAGCATCGAGTCAGCGTGACCGTGGAGGGACAGCCGACCGTGGGCAGTCCGTACTCTGCTAAGGTAAGAAAATGATGCCTTTTTTCGGGTTATTAAATGGTGTTGCGTTATTTATCGGTTTGGGAAATTTGGGCAATTGTTTGATGAAGGGATTGTGTAGTGTGGTAGAAACATATCGCAATATGAACGCTTATTTTCGCAGGTTAGCATTTCTATAGGGTAAACGGACCAATCGTGGATGTACGTTAGTGCCATGTGTGCCTATAGTGGCTTATGGAGACACCATAAGCCACTATGGGAACACATTGCACTAAAGTACCTCCACTAATGGTGCGTTTACCCTATTATTTCAATCCTATATTCGAACAACATGGACGACGACAACAAAAAAATTCCGTCCGGCAGCACCAGTTGTTTACTCCTGTACCTACTATTTATCTCCGGCAGCTTAAAAACACTTAAATGCTCCCTAATGCGGTGTTAACATATACGCTGGTTCACTAGATCCACCAGCTCAACCAACTGCCACGAATTTCAGTTGTTCCTGAAATCTCATGTTGTTTACATTACTTTTTAGTACAGTTCTAGTACACTAACGCTAGTGATAAATCATTGAAACATATTTAATTAGTGTTTTACTTTGGGGTTAAAGTTCAATATGCTGTGTTGCATTTTCGAACATTTTAAAAGCAGCTTTTTGACGCAACATTTTAGATTAAAAAAAATCGCAACATTGTAAGCTAGTACAATGAATAGAATGACGCGAACTTTTTGCATTCTGAAATGATACCTCGAAAAAACATTACTTTTGATTTTTTTGAAAACACATCAAGGTCAATTGAACCTTAACCAATGCATTTTTGAGGTTTGGTGCCTTTGAAGAAGTTTCTCATTATATCATTAGTATAAACAAGATAGTTCACAACTCTAACTCTTTACTACATCTAACTTTTTACTATGCCATTGTGGAAACATGAAGTTTTGGGTAAAGTTGTATGCCTACTAGACGAATTTATCTTAATTCATCTATCGAAAATCAAGTTTGCGTACTAAACAATGCACGCAATGTACTGATTTTTTTGAAATAAACAAAGTGAGGATCAAGCAAACACAAAGTTTGCTTGTCTTTCACCCTGCGCAAGTTTAAAGCAGTGGAGAAGAGAAGACAGACACACACCCAGAAATAACGAAAGCTCAATGTGTAGACATTGCTCCGACGGCTCCGACGCAAAGAGCGCCACTCAGTGTAGGGGTGCATATAGGAAAACCATCAAAAAGACAAAATTCTTCTTCGTTATGTCCTTCTTCTATGCATGCAGTCGTAGTAAGCAAAGTCTGCAAATAATTCAAAGAAGACATCAGCACTTGTTGTATTATATTCGCTCCCTGCGCCGCACGGAGTGTACCGCTCATTGAGCGGATCGCTTTCTCACAGATCAGTTGGAAAAGATTGTGCGAAGTAAATGGAAGAACTACACACTCTTTGTCGAGTGCTGTGAGATGCATGCAGTAAGTTGCTTTGCTAACGCTCTGAGGTGCATTCCAGCCCTGTAGGTATGGTATCTTGGATAATTGCTCCATTATTACGTAGATGTTCAGATTTACTGTCCTGCGATTGTTTTTTAGTTAGAAGTGTGGAGCGACGGACAAGCGTCTGAATAATCTTCTTAAATAGGGTTCTTAAAAAAGCTTCTTAAATAAGCTTCTTAAATAAGCTTCCTTAATAAGCTTCTTAAATAAGCTTCTTGAATGAGCATCTTAAATAAGCTTGATAAAGAAGCTTCTTAAATATGCATCTTAGATAAGCTTGTTAAAGAGGGTTCTTAAATCTGCATCTTAAATAGGCTTCTTATATAAGCGTCTGAATAAGCTTCTTAAATAAGCTTCTTAAATAAGCTTCCTAAATAAGCTTCTTAAATAAAACTCTTAAATAAGCTTCTGAACAAACCATCTTATCTTAGCTTCAGAAATAAGCTTCTTAAATAAGCTACTTTAATAAACTTGTTAAATGTGCTTCTTGAAAAAGCTTCTTAAATGAGCTTCTTAAAAACACTTCTTTAACATGCTTCTTAAATAAACTTCTTAAATAAACTTCTATAAAAATCTTCATAAATAAGCTTCTTCAATAAACTTTTAAAATAATACTTTTCAATAAGATTGTAAAATATGTTTCTTTAAGATGCTTCTTAAATAGGCTTCTTAAATAAGCTTCTGAAATAAGCTTCTGAAATAAGTTTCCTTAATAAGCTTCTTTATTAAGCTTCTGAAATAAGTTTCCTTCATAAGCTTCTTAAATAAGCTTCTTAAATAAGCTTCTTACATAAGCTTCTTAAATAAGCTTCTTTAATATGTTTCTTTAATAAGTTTCTTCTAAAAGCGGCTTGAATAAACTACTTAGTTCAGCTTCTTAAATAAGCTTCTTAAATATATTTCTTAAACATGCTTCTAAAATAAGCTTCTCATTAAGTTTTTTTTTAAATGAGCTTTGTAAACTAGCTTCTAAAAAATGCTTCTTAAATTAGCTTATTAAATATGTTTCTTTAATAAGCTTCTTAAATAAACTTCTTAAAGGTATATCTTAAATAAGCTCTTCTTAAATAAGCTTCTTAAATATATTTTTTAAATAAGCCTTTGAAATGAGCTTCTTAAATAATCTTCTTAAATAAGTTTCTTTAATATACTTGTTAAAAAAGCTCCTAAATAAAGCTAAATTAAAATTGTTAAAAAAGCTTCTTCGATAAGCCTTTTAAAAAGTTTTTTTTTTATTATTTCCATTGTAACATATGTTTCTTAAATAAACTTCTTAAATGAGCTTCTTAAAAAGGCTTCTTAAATCAGCTTCTTAAATCAGCTTTTTAAATAAGCTTTTTAAATAAGCTTTTTGACAAGCATCTTAAACAGCCATCTTATATAAGCTTCTTAAATAAGCTTCTAAAATATTTTTTTTAAATAAGCTTCGTAAATAAGCTTCTCAAATAAGCTTCTCAAATAAGCTTCTTAAATAAGCTTCTTAAATAAACTTCTTACATAAGTGTCTATTATAAGCTTCATAAATAAGCTTCGATAAGCTTTTTAAAACAGATTTTTTTAAATAAGCTTCTCAAATAAGTTTCTTAAATAAGCTTCTTAAAAAATCTTCGTAAATAAGCTTCTCATATAAGGTTCTTAAATAAGCTTCTTAAATAAGCTGTTTAATTAAGCTTCTTAAATAAGCTTGTAAAATAATTTCTAAAATAAGCTGTTTAAATGAGCTTCTAAAATAAGCTTCTTAAATAAGCTTCCAAAATAAGCTTCAAATATAATTTTCTTAAATAAGCTTTTTAAATAAATTTCTTAAATAAGCTTCTTAAATGTGCTTCTTAAAAAAGTTCCTTTAATAAGCTTCTCAAATAAGCTTCTTACATAAACTTCTTAAATAAACTTCTTAAATAAACTTCTTAAATAAACTTCTTAAATAAACTTCTGAAATATATATCTTTAATAAGCTTCTTTAATATATTTTTATATAAGCTTTTGAAACAAGCTTCTAAAATAAGCTTCTTAAATAAACTTCTAAGATAAGTTTCTATTATAAGCTTATTAAATAAGCTTCTTGGATACGTTTTTTATGATGAGCTTCAAATGAGCTTCTTAAAAAAGCTTTTTAAATAAACTGCATAAATCATCTTCTTAAGTAAGCTTCTGAAATAAGTCTACTTAATAAGCTTCTTAAACTAGCTTCTTAAATACATTTCTTAAAAAAGCTTCTTAAAAGAGCTTCCTAAAAGAGCTTCTTAAATAAGCTACTTAAATAAGCATCTTAAATATATTTCTTAAATATGCTTCTTAAATAAGCATCTTAAAAACGCTTCTTAAATGAGCTTCTTAAATAAATGAGCTTCTTAAATAAAGTTTTAAATAAACTGCTCAAATAACCTTCTTTATTAAGCTTCTGAAATAAGTTTCCTTAATAAGCTTCTCTATTAAGCTTCTGAAGTAAGTTTCCTCAATAAGCTTCATAAATAAGGTTCTTTAAGGGGGTATTCCCGATCTTTTTTTTCAAAAAATCAAATTTTTTTTTTTCACGTTTTTTTGTACTTTGGACTATATACTTTCATCCCCCAAGCCGTTTTCCGATCAGCGAATTCGGTGTCCAGGCATAGCTGACTAATGGTAAGAACCCCCAAATGGTTTTAACTAAAGTCAAAACTTTAAACGCGTTTTTCTCGAAACCACATTTTTTTTTATCGGGCGAAGATTTTTCTCAGAAACTATAAGAGATATTGACTTGAATCTTTGCGCATTTTGTTCCTTATTAAATTCTTTGGAGCTTCTCCCACTTTCAGCCAAAAATATTAACATTTAACATTGTTTGAAGCACCTTAAAGCTGCAAAAAAGCGGGCTAAAAATCGCCTGGTTTTTCATATGGCCGCCATTTTGTTAATTTGCAAGATTTTTTGCTGCCAACGGGAGAAGCTCCAGAGAATCTTATGCAGATTATTAATTTCATCACGAAATCTGTTTCAGATGAAGCCGTTCCAGAGAAAAGTCTTCGCCCGTCCAGGCGTTTGCGGCGAACAGGGGTCTGTTTGCCGCCATTTTGTGACGTCAATAATGTCTTTTTTTATGTCGAAAAAAATTTATTTGTAAACTTTAATGTTCAATAAACAAGAATCCCAAAGAGTTAGGCGCATTACTATTCATTTTCCTTGAAAAAAAATTTATTGAAAAATAGGCCGAAAAAAGGCAAAATATTGGGAATACCCCCTTAATATGCTTCTTTAATAAGTTTCTTCAAAAAGCACCTTAAATAAGCTACTTAGTTCAGCTTCTTGGTTCAGCTTCTTAAATAAGCTTCTTAAATATGCTTCTTAAATATATTTCTTAAATGTGCTTCTAAAATAAGCTTCTAAACAAGTTTTTTTTAAATGAGCTTCGTAAACAAGCTTCTAAAAAATAAGCTTATTAAATAAGTTTCTTTAATAAGCTTCTTGAATAAGCTTCCCAAATAAGCTTCACATATAATTTTCTTAATTAAGCTTCTTTAATAAACTTTTTAAAGGTATATCTTAAATAAGCTTCT